AAATCAGAGAGATGGGGGGGTGAAACTGTTCAGTGATTTGTAGACATTAGGAATGTGCTATATGGCATAAAATTCATATCACAATATGTATTGTGAAGGGTGGCGATAACGATATATATCACAATGTGTTTTTGGTATAAAACTTTATAGGAATTTTTAAAAAAGCATAGGATGTCCTTTTGCCATCATATATTTTGAATGAAGAAAATTCCACTTCTAGGTCCAGAGAGTTTTTAAATAATAAACAAATCAAGTATTAGGCTTCTTTCTTGTTGTGCAAAACAGTGCAAAATATATCAAATTTAATTTTAGCCATATGTTTTAAACAAAAGTATATGTTGTTAACTCTTAACAGTTTCCAGTTTTCTCACTTAATAAATGAACAACAGAGCAACATTTTACACTGAAACACTTCTCCCTCCAAACCTCCAGTGGGTGACTCCTTCAGCTTTAATGGAGAGCTGACACAAAATGAATCTGTGGCTTTGACCACAGGGTCTTGCAGTAAAATCACACAACACAGCGTTCTTTTCACAGATCAGAGAGCAGGTTTCTCTAAAGCTGACCAACGCTGACTTTAACTTTCGACGAAAAAAAACAACAACTTCAGACGGAACACAGCATTTTGCGCATGCGTCCGAATACTGCAACGCTACGGCAAACCGGCTGTAGTTAGCTTGTAGCTTCGCTACTTAGCTCTCGAATAAATGACTTTAACGCCACTTGCACACAGTTTTCAACTAAAAAAAGTAACAATTAAACTTTAAACTCTGATTTTCCATCAGACACAGCATTACTGTGGTTAGCCGGTAGAAGACAGATCTATATCTTAGGCTAAATTTAGCACTTTGAGATTTTTGTTAATGAGAAGTGCATTATAAATTAAATTCATTATTATTATTTATTATTAAATTTCTATCATTTCTACCGTATACCATATATATCGCGCATTCCTAATATATATATGTCTATATATGTGTGAATGTTTCTGTTCAGTGCCCTGAGATGACTTTTGTTGTGACTTGGCGCTGTATAGATAAACTGAATTGAATTAAATTACTATGTCACACCCTCAAGCCACATTCCCTACTTCTCTTTACATATAACTCACCATTTAACTTTGTGATGACTTTCTTCGGCAGTTTAGAGAAAATGTCAGAATCTTTAAACTCTTATTTCAGTGGTCTTCAAGTAGCTGGCAAATAGTATTTATGAGGTAAGAGTATTTTCTCGAATTTTCCCAGAATGTCTTGCAACTTCCGTGGAGTTTTCGACTCCCTTTCAACTCCCTTTCAACTCCCTTGCATGTGTCATGTGCATGCAGCCCTTTTGCTTGAGTTTTGAACATGTTAAAAAACAGACAACTTTTCTCTAAAAATAGTCACAAAGTCAATATGTCTGAAACTTGCTTCAAACCCATCTGAATTTTGCCACAGTCATTTTTGACTTAATAATGCTGGATCTGCATTTTGGCTCCTGCACAGGAGCTTTCCTCTGACAAAACATATC